ATATGGATGTATAAGAATACGAATATACAACCTCATACTATCTACTTACGTATGGATAAGGAAAACACAAATTAAATTACTGGTACACACGAAGCAGTAGCCTAGTAAACTAAGATTACTGACTATCATTAGCAATAACTTTACGTGTGCTTTGAAAGCGAGTTGGATAAGGAAAACACGAGAAAAATTACTGGTACACACGAAGCAGTAGCCTAGTAAACTAAGATTACTGACTATCATTAGCAATAACTTTACGTGTGCTTTGCGAAGAAAGCGAGTTTATTCTTCGCTTGTGTGGTCTTTTTTGCGGGAGCAGTGTCTCATACATTCCAGTAGCAACAAATTCGGGGAGTTGGAAAAAAGTTCTTATTAGAAGGTGGTCTTTAAATTGTTGTTTTTCACTCCCATGTGATGTGATTCACTTCGTCTCATCATATTCTTCGTGTATACTAATGATTAGCATAGATTTCAAGACTAGTTAGTTTCCAATCGACTAACTCTGAATAAGGTGGACTGATTGATTCTCCTATTGTTTCCATTTCACTAGACTTGCCATGCAGAACATGAGCTATCTGACCGATGTGTTGATGATAAGAAATCCGATCGATAAGAGGAAGCTAATGTTGAAAGCTCTGGATGCCATTTTGTTCGGTTCTCCAACAAGTAAGTATGAATATTCAACTGGTGTGCCTGCCTTTACATTAATAATCGTTAGCTTTTCCACATTACCTCAGCAGTGTTCGGCAGTGTTTTTCGACTCAACTAAACGATTTGCATTCCCCAGCTGACGGACAGGAACATCTTATTTCTCATGAATTGTTCATCTTAGGCTCTAGGCTAGCCGGTCGCAAAGCTGGACTTCGGCTAAGAAAACTTGTAGGTGCTCCTAGCGTTGGCTGAAAAAAACTGGACCAATCCCCGTTGCACTCACGCCATCGTACATCTTATGATTTGTCGTATCTCAGACTAGCAATGGGACCCTTTGGTTGTCAGGCCTATCTGGTGTATCAGGACTGTGTACCTGAGGTGGCAAGCGGGGTTAGACTTGGCTTTTGAACACTTTGGTTCATTATGGCTAAACAGAGACTACTTATCATGCCAAATGGTATTCGTGTTTTCCGACTTCTGGAGAGCGTCCTCCCTGTTGGGGAACAGCATGGTCAAGTTTGTCAAAAGTCCTCGGTTTCGGTTGGGGAGTTCGCATTTTACCTATCAACCCGATGGCAAAGGTTGCCTAACTGAGACAGTCGCTGACAAGTAGACACGCTCTGCGTGCTCCTTCGTACTCGTTTCCTACAACCTTAATGGGTGATATTTCAGACGGAAGGGTGACCTGTATTCTGTGTTAACGTGAACGTTTGTGTGGTTGTGCTAAAGAAACCATCGTTGCAGATAAGGGTATCAAACAGCATGAACACTATTCCAAATAGTCTCCATATTAGTAAACCGTGAAAAATGGAAATTTGTTAGTTAAACAATGCGATAAATACCGAGGTACAATGGTGCTGAGGTGACTGGACTGAGCCCTCTCTGTCTCTCTCTTATGGTAATTCTCCCTTAGCTTTTCTCGTTGTTTCTAACACGAAACACCCCCGTCACTATTTTCTGTAAAAAATATGCACACTGTTTTGTCCTTTGATCGAAGATTCGCTTGTGCTTCCCCGGGACTCCTCAAACCCCTAGGACGTTGTACGAATGATAATGTTCTCACTTAATGAAAAACATTGATCATATCTGCACTGTTTTGATCCCACCATCTTTTGATTCATCTTTCGTGACTGATCATTTGCCTTTGACTTTAGGACCACCCACAATTCACCGCTGCAAATATTTGGTTTTAAGTCATTCCTTCACACCCTTTGTATTGATTCGTCACCCGAATACAATAATTGCCTGATTACAGCGTGCAACTTAGGTCTGTTTCTTTCAGAACTAAGAATGGATTGACAGTGACTTGCCCAATCCCACTAGATCTACTGATCCATATTAGCCTACCAGTCGGTTATTCATCGAGTTTTTCCGCCAACAGAAGTCGGTAAAACGAAATGCGTGTGAAGCTGTTGCGGCATCAGTCTCAGTCCTCAGCTAACCGTAATAGATCGAGTTCGGGGTTGATATCATTTAGGCTGCTCATGTCTGATTGCAACTCCTTGGCACCCTAACAGATGAGCTACCGAGGTCTGTTTAATCTGCCGTTGCTTCAGTGCGAAACCCATTGTCTGAGGATAGTGCCTTGTCTATTCGCCTAGTCAAATGTCATCGTTCTCTTATACCTTTTTCATTTTAATCTGTTGAATAAGTTTCTTAAGTGACGTAACCGAAATTCAAAGGTGAGCTGATGTCTGGCTAAGATGTGCCAAAAAATATTCATCTTCGGATGGAACCCGAAGAGTTACACTGCCCCTTGATATCTAAATTTCGCAGTTTGTTTTTCATTGCGACACTGTAGGACTGACACTCGGGTTATTTTATCGAAGACCTATTTTCCTCATGTGAAAAAGTACGATGTTTCCAAAATGACCATACGAGTCATGTGTGGTTGAAAACAGACCTTATTGTATACCATTCACACAAATCTATTTTTGGTCAATCGTCCTCTTGTATGGGGTGTCCTGTCAAGATGGAAAACACCGTACGTATCCAGCGACCCTCTTACTCATAATCCCATACAAACATTTACTTTGAATCACATGCGGAATTGGGGAGGAATTTATTTTAACTGCATCGTTCACCACATTCAATGCGATAGCTTAGTGGGTTCTATTTATACAGTGTCACCGGGGCAGTTGGTTGGCAAGACAGCACTGTAAGGCGTCGTTTCTGTGCTCTTGAACGGTGTATGACAATTATCAGCCTGTGTTTAACTTGGCTGCGGCATTCTGTAACTTTTCAAGTTGATGCAGTGTAACTCAGCCGCAAACTGCATGAAAAACGTGGCATGTACATAGCAGTCCTAGCGACCTCCTCCGAAAATCCAGCAAATTTCGTATTCTCATATCTAACATCTAGTTTTTACGCTTTTCTCCGAGCCGATTTATGTCTTCCATCAAACTTCATAGTCTGTGGAAACAACAGATCTATGTTGATAACAATATGGTGACAACAGTATGATGGTAATATTGGAATCTTTCCCCAGAGTTTTATATTCGGAACGCGTTGCTAACTTATCGATGGTTATTGTTTCACTTCAGAACCTCAGCTCCTGCCTTCACCGCTGACTACCGCAGTCTTTGGAATTATGTCGCTCGTCATCCTTGGACTTTCCCATTGGTTCTATACCCGACTTTCAGACGTCAAAAGTGGTCCGAATTCCGGTAGTCCAGCTTTCAACGAACGAACCCTAAAGGAACTTCAGTCTCGGTACGGTTCTCTTTCGAAATTTTCCTTGAATTCCTGTCAGCCTTTTTAATCTCTTTACCTCTCAAAATTAGGAGCCGTCCTGGTAATACACCTACAGGTTTGTAGTTACATCTCCCAGTTGACGGTGACTGTCTCTGCGGCTAAATGGAACCGATTGAGCTTGAGTGTCCCTATAAAGAATCCGTGATATTGACCAATACTCTTATGCTCTCAGGTTGTATTTCTTGAGCACCAGTCTACTGAAACATCCGTACTTACTGACTCGCTGCCTATCGCCGACACTGCCTAGCTTTCAATCTCTCCTGTACTAGGCAGTCAGAATCATTCGACATCAGTGAACTGCTTGGACGCCTGCAACATATGACCATCATTCCCTTATCCTCTCTCTCCTCGGTAAGCGAATATGCAGCAGCAGAAATGGTGCACAGTTTCTGAACTGACCTATGACAAATGTTTGGTTGATGCACTGAATCCTTATCGACTTATTCCAGTAGTAGTTGAAACACTTGACAATGCAAGTGGCTGCTGTTCTTTTAGGTATCCAGCTACTGTATGACCCACTCGGCAAACAACAGTCAGACAATGCGGTCCATAGTAGTGTGAATTGGAGTAGTTGATTGAAGCAGGTATGGACGTTATTTGAAAACGCATACCATCTGGAGTGACAAGGTCGCAGAAGTCCTTCAGTAAAGTAGTCACATGGAGTATGCGTTCAAATCCTCCTTCTGAAGGTGCGCCTCGTTTTCCTGTGTAGTCTAGTGGCAGAAAGCCCATGTGCCTTTCTTTTTTGGGAGATGGCGCACTTTGTCAACTCCAGACAGACCCAACTTGTCTATCCGAGAGGTGTCTGTGTTTCACCGTGCATATGCCCCTCCGGACCCATCCATCCGAATCTGCCACAATTACACTATAGATTTCGATGGATTGTAATGGACGGGAATGGAACTAGAAGCTAAATTTCTATGGTGAACGTTTAGAAGGCCAGAGGTAGGGAAATCCTTAGCTATCAAAATGGAGGGTAAAATTATTGCTCAACGGGTAACTACATCACTAACTGAAATCCGGGCACTGAAGCTTTATGAAAAACAGTGTTTGATATGATGTATTGAGAACACTTCAGATTCATGTGCCCTGTTTAGCTGCAGGATACGCCGTCTCTAAAGGTACTATCTCAGTTCATTTTGTTGTTCGGTAATATTGATGCTCTTCGACACCTTTAGTCACTTTTCGTTTCATGAATTCATTGTCTCATTGTGGTACAATCTCAAATGAGTGGGTGACCTGGTGCTGGGTATCCCGGGTTCGAATACGTGATTGAAGCCTATGTCACGAAGACCATAGTTTCAGTATACTTATTATCTGGTGTGAAAAGGTTCCATCGGTCTTTCGGGGAAGATTCCTACAAAAATACAACCTACTTTCCTGTGTATGTTCGTGGTTTCCTATATATGTGACAAATCTTCGGATGGCAACGACCAGAATCCACGGTAGGGGGTTGAAGATTACAACCACTCTGTGTTTCGGCTGTTGAACGTCCACTGTCTCATAAATTTTGTTGATTCCGTGCAAATTCATTCCACCACATTCGAGCGGAATTCAAAATTGGAACTTCCAAAAGTTACAAGTCGTTAGATTTTGCTCTTCCTTACCGGCCAGAGGGCCTAGCTTGCCATAGATTTTGGAATACAGAACGTGCACGATTTCGCGTTCTCCTCACATGCAACCCGAAGTGAGCTATGCAATTAACTAAAATAAACCATATTACCGACTTAAACTGTGAAAAAATATCCCATGATTGGTTTCATCTGCCGTATACGGATAGAGGACAGCTTGTGTGGGATAGTACCGTTTAGAACGTTCATGTTGATTACAATACACTCCACTCTGGTGACGATTGGACGTTTATTCACCCGTTCTGCCTACTTGACTCGCACACCTCCTTTAGAACTGCGATGCATGCACACATGCTTAAATCACAATTGCAATGCGTATCCATGCAAGCAGAGGTGGTGAATAACTGGTGTTCTACTGGTGTCTCATATAATTTCAATTGAGGTTTCATCCTCAAAGTGAAGACGGCTGTTTCATCCTTATTGGTAAAAAAAGATAAAGCGTTCAGCTGTAGCACCCTTCCGGTGCCTAGCTGCCATGCCACCCGAAGGAAGCACGAGGGCTGGGATACTGCCAGGTTGCCCAAGCCTAGACAGGGGAAGTCGAGTGGCGGAGGTCGGATTCGAACCGCGGACCTTCAGGTTAGTAATCCGCGCTCTAACCACTTCGGCCATCTCGCCCCCTCGGCCATCAGCAATGCATATCCCGCAAACTTCCGAGGAGATTCGAATCCAGGACCTTCTGACACAAACGTTTGGCCACGAGCGGCTGTTTAGCAGTGTGATTAACTCGAAAGTAGTTTGGATATGACGCCAATTATCCTTCAGCCGCGGAATTCACATCATGTGGTGACGAGTATCTCAGATAGATAGACGCATGCTAATCCGCAACGGAACTGTCCAAAAACTGGTTTTGAGTTACCTAATAAACTTATCCAGTCCCGCGATTTCTTTGATTACATACTCAGTGACGTTTTTTCAACTAGGCCTTTCCCCTGGACGGATCTGTTTTGTTCAGCTGTTTGCTGAGAGTGGTCAGTTGTGATACACAGAGCCCATTTTCATAAACTTGTCAAAATAAACTATGACCCACGCCGTCTGACAAACATCGGGGTGAATTGATCAAATGAACCTATCGTAAGTGGTAGCAAGGACTGTAAAAGAAAACAAAATTTCTTTCACACTAGGGAGCGGGTAATGTACGGGATATTTGGATTTGGTGAGACGGGCTACATGGTTAGGATGGATGGCGACTTGTTCTGCGGACGGACAACACCCGTGGGTTGCACATCATTCAGGCAGAAGTTGTGCCATCAGAATAACCAAATTTTTGTACTCCGATGGGATATATTTGAAGAACTGACTAATTGTCATAAATAACACGTGGCTGAGGGCTACACTGCTCTCAGGACGTCTGGTAAACAAGGGATTCTTGGTTTTTTATTACTTATTCGAATGACATTATAACCATTATTCGAACTAGAATCCCTGTACTCACTTCCCGCGTTTTCATCGTTCAGCCTGGACGATCTGGAACAACTTCAATACAGGTTAAATAATCGTGAACAAGGAGCTCAATTTAGTTCACTCCATTCGCAGCTGGTAAGTCTGTCTTGCAACTCATTCGTCATTGTAACACTTGTTTGATTGGAAGAGAGAATATATTAGCACTCTTAAGGGCGTGAGCCGGATCAGTCCTCTTGAGAGGTCACAATGAAGAAGGTCGTCTTCTCGAATGGGACGCTCTTGCTTTTATTGGATGGTTGGTGATCTGTGTGTGACTTAAAATCCCAGTCATTGAGACACTCGAATACACATCATAGGGAAATTGTTCGCATCAGGACATCGCATAACTCTAACTGTTCAGTGAAGCCAGCTGCTTACTCGTCCAACCTGAGCCCCTTTGTTCCCTAATCCGAATTTTTGCGTCTCGATCGTGTGGTATAGTCAAGTCAATTTAACGTCGTATGTTTTTCATGCTATACGATCCTAAAACTTCCCATGTGGCGTCTTGATAAAGTCCGTAAGATGGCTCACTAGAAAACCTAAACCGCCTCAAGTGCGGTTTATCATTGATTCTCCTCTAACTGAAGATGTTCCGAGAGCTGTTTAAATTCAGGCACAAATCCAAAATGTTTCACACTTCCGAGGACATAACTTGACACCGAGATTCATCTAGGATGCAAGATTCTTGTAGCATCATTCCAGGAATGCGATCATTTGCAATTTTTTGTAGATGTGGAATGACGAGAGAGCAGATAACCTCGTAAAATGATGAAACATCCTTTTGGGCAAAGTGGTATGTGGTTCTAGAACCCGAAATCTTACATAAGTGACTTAACTACATTTAAAAGCCCCTAAATGGGTAACGTCAACCATCGTTTCGTCACGGAAGATTTGACGCCGTTTGGGCAGTACTGCTAGAAATATAATAGTGGGGCGATTTTTTCTTATAATTGTGCATGTCAAACTGATGTGCGCATTTCCCATCATACTTCAAAAAGGTGGAAAGTTGCATAATTTGCTTCGGACGAAACACAGTTGTTTTTGAGTTCGTGTAAACTTATGCCTACCCATAATTTACTGCTAATTTCTGTGTCTAGTATACATCATTTTAAAATTGGGAACTGAAACCATAAGAGCCTTTCACGGAGTTGACTTTTTTTCAAACTGGGTGTCCGAATAAGCGGTTACGTAGTTCTGCCATAGTTTATCCACCGAGTGGAAGGATCCATACAAGGCTGCGTTGGATTTAAGCTATAAAGCTTATTTACCTCATTGGCTTCACACTGCATATTTCTTGATTTTTTTCGCCCCTCGAAGCTCGCATTAGCTTGTGAATGGGAGGCTATTCAGTACTGTTATCCTTACAGTTCATTCAATTTAGTTTCGAATATAATTATTTCCTTTGATTATTTAATTCATTCGATCACAATACGGGGTCCAATGGCGCCACATTCAGGCTCCGTCCTCTGTGGTCACTGCATGAGTAGGATTACTCACTACATATCTGTTGGTCACACTCGTCGTGACTGCCGAATTAACGGTTTCAAAAACATGGGTGAACGCACGACACTTTATCACTACTTGCATGCCCACAATTATCTTTTTGAGACGCGCTTGCATCATACGTAAAACACATGAAGCTGTCACTCATAACCTGCGACTTAACCTCCTCATCTGTGGACAAATCTATAACGCTGGAACCTATGACATTTGTGCGTTTGATGTGTGACGATGTTGATTACTTTTTCTGCCATAACCACCCCCTCCCGATCATAAGAAAATGTCGCAATACCACTGATATGTGAATGCTTTAATTCACCTGACTATCGCATAACCTAAACGAAACAAAGTTGCTTACCCAGACTTTTGTTACTGTTCACACAGTACCCGCATTCCTTGACACTAGTTCGTTTGGTTAACAAAATAATGACGCCGATGTTTCTGAACACTTGTCGTTTTCAGAGACACCTACATCTGTTGGTCTAAAAGGGAATGCAGACCGGACGTAAGGGACAAGTATTCAAGGTCGGTCACGAAGTTCAAGCCGTGAGACTAGGTACTCGGTTTCAATCAACGCAAAATTCCTCTCAGCAGTAGCTCGGTGTTCCGACATTGATGATCATCACCAGTAGTCCCGTTGCGATTTTCGGCGATGGCATGTCTGGTTTCTTGATGTGGGTCCATATGAATTATATCCACCCATCATGCCATCCAGGTTGAACTATATCTGCTTGGCTAAGTACGGATGAGCTATAAGGTAGGCTAGGTTCTGCAGTTGATCGGCACTGATTGTCATTGTTAAATGTTCCGCCGGATCTACTTCACGTTTGCTGGATTCAGAAACTATTTGTATCGACATTTCTAACATGTAACTTGAAATCCCTCTGTATTGGCTTCGTCTCTAATGCCTTTCCTTTATCATCTGACCAGCCTATGAGCCCTTCTTGGTCTGAGCTTCCGAAATTTCGAAGTCGGTCATTGGCAAGCAAACCATGGGCAATGTTGCCTATCGATTCTGGGTCGCCTCCAAAGTCCTACTCAGAACGCTTTCAAAGTCGTCAAGATCTGGAGAAGAGAACCAGCACCGGAGAGGAAACAAATAGACCTCCTTCGACTGACCTCGACAGGAATGATACAAACTCCACATTGCTCGATCCGGATTTCCCCCGCGTTACGAGTCGAACGAGCATAACTGATTTCGATGGATGCTCCTCCGTTGCGCTGCAACTTTGGTTGCAGCTTACCTACGCTCTTGAGGAAGAACAGTACTTGAATAGGAAAACACAGGCAGAACTGAATTTGAATTCTGCGCGTCAGGCGGTGAGTACAATATGAAGTCCTGATTGTCAGTAGTGGTATCGACCGTTCAACTATAATCTCTATGTGCCCTTCGTGCAGATAGCGCGCTAGCCACTTTGACTATTCATTTTTTCTCATCCATCAATCAGCGGATGGGAATTCTAGTTGCTACCGGTTACCTAGTGAACCATAATTGGGAAAAACGTTTCGGTCAGGTCTACTGGAATGAGTTTCTCTGGTACGAATTCGGCCCTGCTCCCAACGAACCGTATTACAATTTCCAACTGCTTGAAGAGATCGCTAGTTTTTTCTAGAGGAATGTGTCGGTAGCTCAGATGGTCGTTGGCTTGTTCGCTGAGCTGGTTTGCCTCGGTTGATCGTCCCTTCTCCGTTGTACAACTGCTTCAGATATTGGTGCACTGTCCATACGGTCCTTAAAGTCATTTGCCAATTGTACTTTCAGAAAGTGCAGATTAAATCGTCTTTCGTGATCCTCTCGAAGTCGCAATTCAACTGTACAGTTCTATTATGTTCCTGTCGTCGTATTCTAGTGTAACCGGCTTCATCGAAAGCGGTTTCATGTCCTTGGTCCGGTCCGGTTGCTGTATTCCGACAGCCTCGGAGAGCTTGAATTCAAGCTGATGCGAGCGAAGTGAGTCTCTTGTAAATCCCGCTTGCTTATCATTTTTAACTTAACCATTACTGCGCCTGTTTTTTTCTCTTCCGTACCTCTATTGACCTGCCCGTCGTCTGTCACGTGATACCTGCGTGCTGAACCAATATAAATAAAGTTTGGGTCACGGATTTTTCAGGTGCTACATGTTTTTATTCACCACAGGTCTTGCAGACAGTTTTCGGTATCTATTCTATCCAAAGAGATAGAATTTTTGTCTTTTATCATTTTAGAAAACACGTTGAAACTATACTTGTTTGTCCGTGCCAAAAAGACCAGAGGCCAATTCTCCTAGCCCTTGTAGACGACTTAGACACTTTTCGCTGTCGCTTTTCTTGTCGATAACTCCATCCGATGTCTCTTATCCCTTATTCTTCTTATCTCTTTTGTTTCCATTCAGACTCGAAAGCTGTTGTCCATAAACGATCTTCATATGTCTTTTTCATCTTTCTCCCCCCGTGCCTTTGCGCCTCAGTTTTTTCCTACGCATGCAGTATTTGCTGACATGTTCGTGGTCTGATTATAATGAAGAACAACGGAATTTTTTTCTGAAGCATATTAACTAGGATAGTTCCTCTACTTGTTCTTGCTGCTGGTTTTACATTCATCGGCGGGGATCCACATTCACAAGAATCGACTTCGTTGTCCATAAACGATCTTCATATGTCTTTTTCATCTTTCTCCCCCCGTGCCTTTGCGCCTCAGTTTTTTCCTACGCATGCAGTATTTGCTGACATGTTCGTGGTCTGATTATAATGAAGAACAACGGAATTTTTTTCTGAAGCATATTAACTAGGATAGTTCCTCTACTTGTTCTTGCTGCTGGTTTTACATTCATCGGCGGGGGTCCACATTCACAAGAATCGACTTCCTTGTCTCTCTCTCTCTCTTCCCTTGCCTGTGCCCCCCCCCCCCCGGTAAATGTGGAGCTTGTTGCAGCTGAATATGCCAGGGTGAGTATTATGCTAAGCCGTCGAGTCGAAGCGTCCCTACTTGGTTCCATACCCGTTGACAGCTGACTTTGCGTGATTTCTTTTGCGACCTGTATGAAGAAAGGATTTTCGGGGAAGGGAAATCCGTCGCTTCCTACTTATGCCCCAACGAACTACCAAGGATGTTCTTTTACAAAGGCCTAAAAGCCCAGGAATCGTTTTGGTCATTGGCGGCATAAATGCATATATAGTTGGACTTGGGGGTGCTAAGGTTCAACAGGGTTGTCATATTGGATTAGACACGGGACGTAGAAACAGTGGACAGTGCCCACTGCAATCGTGTACTGACCAAGGACCTTTCCTTCACAATACCAGCTTTCGGAACAGCGGAAGTCACGTTTTACCCACCGAAGACCGATCCCCAAACTCAAATGGTAAGGATAGATCACTGCTGGTCACTCCTCCTGGAATACCTGCGTAGCCTCCGATCTCGCACTTGTCCACCTCTATCCTTCAATGTGCTTCCTAGGTTTGCGCAAGAAAAACACCTCACTTGTCTATTGAGAAGTTCATGGACCGGGAACTTAAACAAAAAAGCGAATCCAGCTCTGGTTTGATATCTAGTATTAGTGATCACTGGAGAGAGATATCTGAGGCTGTACTTGATACTGGAACTTCTATATTTGGCACAACCCAGCCAATCTCATCCAAGCTTTGGGTTTTCCATACTACTGTGACCGTCGGTTTTCCTGCTTGATTCGGCAGGTCCTCGGAAGCCTCTTGTCATGATATCACGTACTCCAGTGGCTCTCCGGTGTCCGGCGAAGAAGGGCGTTTGGGTCGTTGGGTAGAATACTTCAAGCATTTCAGTTGGTCATCTGCTACTTACTACTCGTCTTTTACGGAAACAGACTGTAAAATTATAGCGCCCCTCAACCTCGGATATTCCTACTCAAGCGTCACCCTACTCCTGATCCAGACGACTTTCTATCTGCTCTGTTCAAAGACGGCAGTAGATTCCTAGGCCAATGCTCATCTAACTTATTTTCATTTATCTGGGAAAGTGTCTCATGCAACTAGGCTTAAAATGGGTACTCACAAGAAGCTGCAACCGCATGTATCATTTTGACCCCCGTTTTAACAAGGATCTCAAAGTCAATGATCCTTTGTCGTTCAACATCGGCATGTGTAACCCTGGTTTGTGAACATCAAGCGGGATTTCAACCAGCTACACGCAACAGCGACCACATCTTCACACCTCCTCGTGTGTTAGAAGGGCGTCCCATCTATAAATGACCCACAATCTTGGGTTTCTTTGATCTCACGGGTGCGTTCTATTCTCTGGATCGGTCAATACTTTTAGCCACAGTACCTCAACGGCGACTACCCCAGAAGTTCGTGAGCATCATCCCATCCTTGTATCGACATAATTCCTGGCGTATGGGAGTGCATCGACAGCTGCCGAAAAGCGTCCCTTTATAATGTCGTATCTGGCAAAGTTATCTGCTCTCTCCAATTTGTTCAACTTCGTCATTGCTCAAGTGATGGGGTGAACGCTGGAGTCGTTATTGATGAGACTCTTCTCGGTCTGGAATGTGCAGACGACATTACTCTAATCTTTAAGGATGAACACAAGCAATTGTGAATAGATTGACTGTTGTCGTGCTGTTTTTCAGCGTGTTTTGTATCTACATACGCTTCACTACCGTCTACCATGGAAAGTCCCGTTTCCCACCCAAATCCCTTTTTGGCGAAATGTTCACGGAGGACAAGCCATGGCGTGGCAACGCGAACTGAAAGCGACTACCCTCACATTGAAAGCTGTTTGTTCGCTGTGGCCAGGAGCGGAAGAGCTACGCACTGAAGACAGCATCCTTGATGCAGTATCACCGTCGATTGCGTGACAGTGAAGACTGCCAGGGTAACTAACCATTGGTTTATCTCTTCCGGGGAGGTTCATCCGGGGAAATGGTAGTTACCAACGTGACTAAGTTTGCTGTTGAAGAATTTCCTGATTCATTGCCAAATAATGAACCGACTGGCTCTGAGCCGTATCCATCCGAGAAATGGCTGAGCGAACAGCTTACTTCAATGGTCGGTTTCTCTCGGGATGTGGATCCTTTTGCAATAAGTCTCCACTTTCCTTTATTTTCGCCTCCTGTTGGGACTATGTTCCTCCCAGTTGTATGGCACTACTGGTGCATTACTGCTCATGATGATGGTGACCTAGAAGGTGTCAAGTCGTCTTTCAGAATATGTCCCTTGCAAGTCAAGGAGAAGCGCTCGTGAATCTGGAAAGTTTTATTAACTACGATGGAAGTGTGTCTGATAAGGCGACTGGACGGATCTCGAAGTCCCGAATCACATTTGCGTCACTTGTGGCATCAGGAACATATCACTGGGGCGTCATGTGTACTAGGCCACGGTACGGGATGTATTGTGTGGTTGCAAGAAATTATCTGTGTGTGGCTGATCCGAGGTGTCCAGCTTGTTGTCACCTATATCTCAGAAGCGTCACTGGTATCGGGTATATTCGTAATGAGGTTAGAGTGTTCGGTTTCGCAGCTACTATCTCAGTCGCGGAAAACTTCCAGCACCATCAGTTGCGGTGGCTACACCATGTACTACGCATATCGAGTCATCGGGGTGTTCATTGGTACAGCTCTCGGCCTATGAGCTAAGGCGTAATTGGCTACTTGGTAACCACAGTCTATGTGCCGTTCGTCTGGTGCCCGTTTCACTGGCAAAGCCATGAGGTGAACAACTTCGCCACTACCTACCATATAGTGCTTTAAACGGTTCTTCGTTTGAGCTCACTGGTCGTACCTGGAGAGAGATAACCACCCCTATATGTCACACTTAAAACCCAGCGTGTGATGTTTCTGACCTGCCACACAGTAACCGCTGCGGTCAGCATCACTCCTCTGTGCAAAGTAATGTAGTCCTTCGGGCATAATTCAGCTAGGCAAAGCCTTGTGTGAATAGATGAGCGTCGTGCGACCAGAAAGTTAAAGAACTGAGGGAGGCCGGTGGGATCTGAAACTTAGGGATGTTGTTTCAGCTGGATAAGGTTGAGCGTTCAGTACACAATAGCATGAACTTAGTTGACCGTCGGCTTCCTTACCTATGTTCTATCCGACCTAGTGGACTCAGTCTGTGGTCTACGTGTAGATTCCCCTCGGTTTTTTGGGCGTTACTATGTCTCTCTACCTTGGAGTGTCATCGAAGCGTCATCTGTTGATGTTTGCACTATTTTTTAGATTTTTTTCTTTCCTCCTTAACTAAGTTGTTTTGGGCTATATGGTAGCAAGAAGGCATTCCAAACAATTGGGATCATCAGTCGTTATTGTAATTAGGTGTTTAAAATGACACTTCTCTCCATAGAGGTATGATCTCAACAACATCGCAACATTTAATTTCAGCACATGAGACTCAAATTCAGCAGTTTATCCTTGACATACTTCTATTTCATCAAGTACTCGATAAGCACTAAACATTCCGCCAACCAACAGTCTTTGTCTAATTTTAAGGGGACCCTGTAGGTAGATGAGCACTTCTATGCATGTTCGGCCAAATTATAGTACTTCCGTAGTTACTAGGTATGGCTCCCGACCGGCGTCAGTGGCAACCTTGTTGTCAGTTTCTATCCAGACTACCTGAGTCAACGTCCGGAAGTGTAGGCACCTCGGAATGTTTGTATTAAGCTATCACTAACTCCCTTCCCCGTCCACCTTCATAACAAGGCTTTCAAATGTACGGCAGTGAAGCATCGGTATTGGACACTGATATCATGCTGTCAATGATGATGATGATGCATCATTTCGAATTACTGTTCCTTAGTGCGCACTACTGCACCTAAGGAATAAGTGTTAAATAATTATGCGATGGATTTACAGAACTCAGTTTCCTGTGACACTCATTTGTAAGTTGATACGGCAAGTTACGAACAGTACGGTGGCAAGCTCAGATAGAGTTAAGTCAATATAGCACTGTGTAAGGGTTTCCCAGATGTTGATCAAACCGCATAGGTGCGTTTACTTCGAGGCACCTTTGTCAAGGAGGTTAACTGATTTATCGGTTATCTCTTTGACAAACATGGTCCTTGGTCGCTAGAACGTAGACGTAGGTACACCTCTTTATGTAGCAGTGGTCTCTTACATCTGGAACCATCCTTACTCCATTTACTATGAGTGAAACCAGCTAGGCTTGAAGTTGTGTAAAATAATAATGGTGGGAGAGCACAGCGTTACACCACTCGGCGTTCGGTCTCTTCAGAAGTGGTATAATCGGAGATACGAAATATTAAAACCTAACTACAATTTGCTATCAGAAGGATATTAGTTGATCAGAAAAAGGAGTGTGACTACGTTTGTGAGTTGAGGCTAAGGTCAACACGTCATTTGCTTGATTGATCTGGTCATTGATTAGTCCTAGCAACAGGTCACCCGCGGTGACCGAAGTACTGGTGTATAGCGTTTTGTTCTCTAAGCTTTGCTCGACAGATATAGTCATGTGTCGTCAGAGCTAAGATTGACTTGCTACTTTAAAGTCATTTTGAGAAGTTACCGTGAGCATGTTATCCGACATGCTGTGTCCCCAGAATAAGTATCGATAGGCAGTGTGTTTTGAAAGAAGATACCTATGCGTACCCTGTTTTATTGGCATGGATCCCATGTTAGGGGCCAACACCATGCTAACTGAAACATGTGGTAATCTTTGTGCAGCTAATTCAGTCGATGTGTATCATAAACGAGCGACTCAGCTGGAATTGAGTTAGCACTGACTCAGTGAGTGTTCCGTCAATCTAACTTGTCGTCTACTCTTTCACTGACGTGACTAACTTGCACATGGTTACTGTATGTCAAATAAAGCTCACTGACCGCTTCCTTAGGAATGATGCTCTTTTATTGTCAACAATTCTTCAATGAGTGACTCATCTTCTTACTTTAAGTGTCTGAACTTTCTTTGTTCTCACTCTAGGATATCGACTTCATACAACTATGGTGACACCTTAAAGAACTGCTGATTATTCATTGTTCTGAGGTCCCTTTTTCTCCATCATTCTCTCGCGAAATACCCTTTTTTCGGCCACCGAATCATCTCATGGATCCTATAGGTTCCCCACAGCTCTTCTGTCTAACAAATTTCACCCAGCTCCTGACCACAATATAAGACAATTCCGGATCCACTTCTAGTTCGTGAACTTGTCAGTGAATGAGTTCTTGTTGCTAGCGCTCTAGTGTAGTTGAATATTTTGAGAACAAATCGTACAGATGAACTGGCCAGTTCACGCTTACCAAGCATCAAATCCGCTCGCTTTCTACTAGGTTGATGCGGCCGGGTCGCAGATCATGACCTGTTTTTGTTACAGATAATCAAATGTACCGAAGTACGATATCTAAGTTTGCGTGTCTACCGGTTTAAACAAAGTTGCAAAATTCTAGCTCTAAGTTTTGTGAGCGGAGGCGCATCAGCTTGCCATTCTGAGCTACACAATCCATCGTTTTCAAGGCCTATTTTTGTGGTTTTCACAACACGACAAACCCACTTGTTTTGTAACCATTTCTTGAGGTAAAGAACGATGACTCTGTTAGTACGAGGAATCATATTCATTTTCAGTTTCGTCGCGGAAAATTGCACAAAATGAAACCCGGAAGATCGTTTGTCCTTCGTTTGGATGGTAAACTGTTCGCATGCAAATACGTGTATGTTGGATATGATATATTGCATAGTAGCTATGGGTCATAAGACTTCGGAATGCGAAAATCATACAACTTTGGAAAGATGGAGCCCCACAGGATACACTGGTGGTTGCAACACGTTAGGGCAAACGAGAAAACTTAAATACGAAGGCCCACAGCTAATTCATGGGTGTCTGTGTTAGAAAAACTTCGGCCTTCGGAACACCTCTGCAACGGAGGCGAAACTTGAAACGGCGTGTATCAGTTTCACAAAAATCACTTGCTCGCTCACATAACTTACACCCCGTCATAACAACTGCCGTCAGCTCTTGCGCAGTGAAGTCAATGAAGCCTCCGTAGACACCGAACCCACTCATTTGGATGGATCTGTATTTGGTACAATACAGACAAAAAACACTCCAGTTTTTTAATCACATTACCTACAAGCCTCGTGGTGAAGAAATTGGGAAATCCTCAAAAGAGCTCCCCCAACAACCATCTTTTTTTACTACCAGGGGAGATGGTCCAAGTAGTTAGAGCGCGAATTTACTGACCGAAAGGTCTGTGGTTCGAACCCGACTTCTGCCCCTCGACTTCCCCTGTCTAGGCTTGGGTAATCTGGCAGTATCCCAGCTCTCGTGCTTCCTTCGTGTGGCATGGCAGTTAGGCACAGAAAGGCGGTTACAGCTGAACGATTATTTATTACCAGGTTTTTGGGGGGAACCGTGACTGTATGACATACTTTGGCCACTGAATCTGGAATCCACCGCCATCTGGATATCAGCCAACTATAGCTCTTTAGTTAGAAGGCAACATTCTCCATATGATTACGTGAAAGATAGATAAATTCTGTCCTTATGACTTTGTATGCAATAATATCTAGTAGTTTCCGGACCAATACCCAGGATTATGTCTACGAAACCCGTGGAAAAATGAGGTATTCTGTGCGTGTGGATATTTTGGTTCTGTCGATGGATGTCCCCGATTGAGCTGTTTCCTTATTCCTGTTGTTGCCCAGTTGTTTTTCTCAGTGTGTGCTATTTTTTCAGATTATTTTGCCTGTCCGCAGTCTACGGTTCACATTTGGGTACAGTGATACATCTCTTCTCCGGTGTTATCGAGATCCTTCAGACCATCATAAGCCCCCCCCCCACCTTTCTTCACATTTTTACCTACAGGTGTGACCTAGAGCATTTGGAGCGAGAGCTTCAGGAACGCACACATCGCTGGATTCAAATTGAGTCGCTTACTGGAATCCAAATACGAAACCATCCTGGCATTGAGAAGATTCGTAAATCACTGGTTTCACTACAGCAACCAGAACTAGATCTGCCGGACACCAAACCGCCCAGTAGTTCTTCTATAGTTTCTTTCGAACTTGGCCCACCCACCACCACTGATTCGGCCTGCGTGGAGCAGTCACGCGATCCGTTGCATAATAGAATGTCCATCCCGGACGTTGTGAACCGTACGTTGTGCACGTTTATTGTACTATTCATCAAAAGTTTGCATATAGACCGTATGCACATGAATAAGTGGGTTGCGAATGTCTAGTGGTTTGAGCACATTCGGATATTTACTGTTTGACTGCATCACTATTGTTACCGCGCTCCGTCTTTATGCCTGCATCACTGACCTTGGAACCTACCAAAGTAGAGCCACCACTACGGCTTTCCCTTTTCCATAAAAGCACTGCGTGGGAACACGGATTGTTTCTTACTGGGAGTCATAGCTTAGTTGGAGTTTAGACCTGAAATCAGTCTGGAACAAAACAAGGTCATGAGAAGGTCACTTTTTGGCCTCCATAAGATTTCATACACATTGGTAACTTACAGGCATGACCATGAAAGAAATAGAACGCAGAAAAAACATCTTGCTTACAGCGTTGCGTCCACAATCTACTCAAACGTGCAACCTTGATCTGTTTGGCACGAGGAACGATTCCGTGGATTAGCCTTCACCCTGCTATCATATTATAAGTCTACAGATGACGTGCGCTTCGTTCAGCTACGAACTGGTAACCCATCATCTCTTCATGTGTTTTCTCGGGTTGATAGAACTCAGTCCGTTCCGCTTTGTCTAGCAAACGGGATATCATGATCACAGTCATAGATGAAACTCACAAACCCTCAACTTGTCACCTTTTCTCTACTTGAATGTTCCTCCATGGTGTCAATTTTTTGGCTCGACTATGGGAAGAGTTTGCCTGCACGAACAAGTGCTAGTGAAAAAAATGACTCAATTATTTTAACCTTCAATTTTTCTTGTAAATGAAGAATTCCCCATTTGTGATGTAAAAAATCTGGGAATTATCGTAGCCGTCTCCTTTTTAAAGGTGTTTTTAGATGATTTCCCGTTAAGATGGAGTACGCCACTTCCACCCGTCGTTACTCATAACTTTTTCGCCGTTGGACGGACTGCACATCCCCAGTTTAGGTTTAGCCTCCGTAGGATACCTAACCTCTGATGGTATGAAATTTCTTTCCATATGCGTTACTGGGCATTTGAACCACTTTGAATCATCCCTTCAGGAATACTTCGGCTGACCGCGCCTTCGGATTGAGTCGATGAGGCCTGTGTGCCTTAAGTAAGAATCCATCATCACGAACACAACCCTTTCAGTGTTTTAAGCCTCCAAGTGGCTTCTTGTGAGCTGTCGTTCGCCAAAACATTTGTGGTCATCCACTTACCATCTTTGATGAACGCCAATGGACTTAATTCCCACCGCTCTATTCCGACAGCAGTCCGAATGACCGCGCTGCTTGCACACACGTTTGGCTGTAATTTGCCTTCCATTGTGCCGATCTGCTACTTGACTCACAACATGACCTAAGTTTTCAATTACAAGCTGGTAACATGACGAGGTAGTGCACAGTAGCCCTGTATGGAACTACCGATTGTGACACATAGCGTGCGTGCTTTGAAGAAGACTGCTAATTTAAGATAGCAAGTTAGCCGACATACGAAGCTCGAAGATGGTCCTCAGTGAAACTCAGTGTAACCTATCATTATGAACATTATAGCATTTGTAGACGTAATACACGACCCATAAGGTTGCTGCAATATCTTCGACAGCTCTCGACCAGTTTTGCCCTTCTTGGGGCTCATCGGGTTGCCTTTAGTTATAGATATCCATCAAAACTAGTTGTGTTGCAATAAACACATCTTATTTTGACATTCTTCTAGGGAAGCATCGCTTTTGACAATCTGTGTCAGGTTTCCTGTAGGCGCCATTCTCGTTCGTTAATAACTGTGAGCGGTTTATACAATACTCATCTGGTTTCCCTGTGTTCCTTCCTTCTTTCTTGTTGATACAACTCAGTCGTCCTTGAGTCCCGTGGTGGAAGCAGGAGCGCTCTATATGGAAAGATGCATTCAAGCAGCAAGGCTTCTGCGAGTGATTCCTCCGTACGTCCGTTCGCAACTCTCTGGCGTCGGAAGGCAGGATTTCGCATGGAGAGTAATACTCCCAAACAACCGTGAGGGGCATTTATTGTTCAGCTGCACTTAGTTCTCGCAATATCATTTGTTGTTAGCGTTGGCATTGTGTTGGGACAAAATTTCACCATTCTGTATCACTGTTCCACGGACCCCCTCACGTGAAGTCGCTTATGGGACCGCTATGTTCGAGATTCTCTGCCTCTGTTCTCAGTTCGCCCGATCTCAAATAGTCCCTTTTTGGTTCCAACATGCCGCCACATACACATTTGTGATAAATGTTGTCTGATCCCGTTTTCTTTATATCTGATCCTCCTCCCCCCACTTTTCCCTTGGTGTTGGTCTCTAAATAGCGTTTTATTTGAACGACTTTCCTCCGTACTTTGCCGGTTACCTTCTCTTATTTTCGGTAGGCTGTGAGCTGGTCTCTCCTCCTACATTTGTTCTACCCAAAAAGACATGTGAATCTTCAGACTTGTGCTTTAGTCATTTTGGTCTGGTTTATCAGTACATCTTTGGGCGAAACTTGATCCCCAACTTTTGTTATCCTGTGGTGGGCTCAGGGGCAATCAGTTGTGATATATAGTCATCTGACGAGACAGTAAGCGCTGATGCCCTGCAATAATTTTCAAGATAAACATATCTGACTATCGTCTACAATGGCATTCACCCTGTAAGTGTACTATCCATATGAAAAGTGTCCACATTCAAGGCGACACTCAACACTCTCATAGCCTCTGTTGACGGATAAGAGAAGTTTGAATACTGTGAATCTTACAGCATCAGTTGCACTGGGATCTGTTGATGGGCTTAGGCAAAATGTTAAAAAGACTGCATGGTGCCAACACTGTGTGAGGTAAAGTCCGGTAGTTTGAAAATAGAATAATGATCGGAATAATTTGTTTCATGTATTCCATACTCGAATATGGGACATAGACACGACAAATATGAGATCAGTTCATTTCCCGTTCTCGTAGGTCGAAGTACAGTATATTTAAGGTTATATATGGCGCTCCGTGTTTAAGCGAATTCGAATACTTCCCCAAAAGATTTTAAAGCGTGTGTCTTTTCGCTACCCTCATCTCGTATGAATCCTTGGGATTCTGTCGATTGAAAAAAACGCTCGTGTTAAAATACACGTTTTTATTACTTATTTTGAATATCGGAGCCATCTTTTATTAATATCACAAAATACACAAACGGATACATCATCTTATCGGGATGCAATGATTTGTTCAATAAATCAACTCCCTCGGTTGGGTACGGGGTCTTTTCTCTTATCTGTCGGTGCCGTCCGCTCCTCCTCCAGGATGTGGTCCCCTGGATCTTTTCTATGCTCGGATGAAGACTATGGAAGGTATAGCTATGTCACTGGCCTTCATTATATCAGTTCCTATTCGAATAGTCCAAGTGTTTTTGGGTCATCCGGTGTATGCGTTAGACTGCCATTGAACTTCTCTCTGATTTTGTTCTTTTCACCATGCGGCCTTATCTCATGGTCATGCACCAGTGTCCTCACAATTTTGTAGTTGTCTATGTTGATGGTCATGACCCACATTTCTGTCTCTTCAGCCATAACCCTCTTCATAGAAAACATACTTTAACTGCACTCATAGTTTTCCCTCAAAAGGATATCCCAATATTACCACCCGTCTCTACGGCTGCTACTGTATCGCCAGATGTTAAGTAATCATAAAAAAGTCAGAGGATTTCCTCAGTTTCCATTCAGCGTCTCGGATGATGCTGTAAATGCTTGTTACTGAACAACTGCTCTGATATTCTGTACGCTCAGTTGATGTAACTGTGGAACAAGGACTACACGCCACGTACGTGACGTGTATTACCGCAAATAATGAACTGCCAACAGACTTAGCTGATTGGTCGATCATAGCAACCGGATTCGGAAGGCTAATAGGCATGTTAGGCCGGATTGTGTTAAGACTTTTAATCCACTTTGTCGTCAAGGGGTGAATCGTGATGATATTGAATATCGCGTTTCGGGCTGTCTAGAGAAGTCTGATGCGTCCGGAAGACGGAATTTCATCAACGCTGTTTGAGGTGTTCAAATGAGAATATTGATTACATCTGTGTGTGTGCAAAAACAGAGGCGTTTCCAATAGGTCGACAACGAAGTGGTTCCCTAAAAATATTTACAACAGGCTTACGATCCATCAAAGACCGATCCCAGTAGGGGATGGCATGTTCCTAACAGTTGGTTTGTGGGTGGGCAGTAACGTGATTTATGAAAGATCACCGACGCCAGGAGCAGAACGCGTGCACCCGATTCCCTGGAACCAGTAAAACCGTCTGGCATGCTTCTACAAGACCACACTGTTTAAACAGTATTCTAGAGGAATCTTCGTAAACCTTAGACGGTTCTGATTTTGGGAGTGTTCACCATGGGTGTTGTAGTGGATAGAAACGCGATATGGTCGAATGTGTTTTCACAAGTGCCAACGCTTCGGTTAACGTGAGTAATGTTTTTCAATGTGCAAAATGAGGAGATAGTCTGTTGCGGATGTTTCGCCGGACTTATTCCAGCTACTTGTGAGTGGCAGTCTAATGCGCGCTGGTGTGTATATGTAGTTATGGGAATTTTCGGAATCTGATCTACTGATTGTGCGCGCTGATGTCCTTAAGTCACAGATTTATCATCATTGTAGTCACGTCTTGCCCCTTCTCTAGTTCTACGAACGTGAAATCAAACCGAACCAGACAGCGCATAATCTAGTTCTGTCATTGCGGTGGTTCGTGTGTGTTGATTCCGTAGGACTTTGTCGCAAGCCTTCTCCTGATTATACTCGCTTGGAGCTGAACCCTTCTTTTTGTGGTTATGATAACTGCTCGGAATTTCGCGATGCTACATTCTTGTCCGCTTTCTATGCCCCTATAGAAATATCCTTCCGAAGAATGAATCCGTTCAGATGTAGTGAGGAAGTTCGTGTCGTTATGTCCGCGGAGGACCAGCTGAAGTAATATTCAGCTGACCAGGAAGTTACTCACCATTATTTTTTATCGCGAATTTGTTGCAATTGTCTACTGTTCGTTCCGATATCTGGATACCCGTGTGCTTCCTCTGTCTACCACGATCAGCTCGTTACGTGCCGTTATCCAGTCGACTTTTGTTGACTGTCGTTGCGTTCATAGTGAGAGCATAGATAGTCGCACGATTGAGGAAGTGAATTTTGTAAGTTCGGAGTATCATTAGCTGAAGACATGTGCATCGTGTATGCCGCACTCATTTCATTGATGGTTTTTGAGCGGAGAGTCTTGACTTCGCATCCTGTTCCGCGGTTCGCACGCTTCAGTATCTCATTCACTGCGGCCACACTAAAAATTGTTCTCGTCGAAGGTCACTTCAGAAAAGCTTTAACTTTCAGGTTTTATCTCCATGAGCAAGTTTGCGAGCAAATCTGCGAAGACACTTTTAGGTAATTATCTAATAGGCACATACCAGTTGCATGACCCTAAAGGATAAAATTCTATTATGTTATTTTTCCTACCTGAGGCACACTTTGGGTGAACAAATCAATTTACTAAGTGCAGTCATATGCTGGAACAAATGCTATAAACTACAACAGGTAATCTTTTGTTCTTTTGTAATGTACTACTCATAGGGTTGATGAAAATCCATCGACAGCCCACGACCGGTTTCGCCCTTCTTGGGGCTCATCAGGTAGGCGCAGTCCCCGGGTTTCCGTCAACCTTATGTTCTACTTGAAACCAAATTGCACGAAATTAGCGAATATACACGGAAACCCGGGGACTGTGCCTACCTGATGAGCCCCAAGAAGGGCGAAACCGGTCGTGGGCTGTCGATGGATTTTCATCAACCCTATGAGTAGTACATTACAAAAGATATACATGTATCGCGGTATTTCAAATATCCTGGCGACTGAAACATGAGGCGGCCTGGTGCAGCACATTCAGTTGCCTGAGAACATCATAAACGAAGGATTCACCTGGGTTCCAGGTGAGTCTGTCGAAAGAGCTAGTTTAGTTTGCAAATGAGTGTATATTCGCCAACAGGTAATCTCCTTCACCTTTTGGCCTAGAGTTACCAAACTTGGATTGTAGGTTATGTAGCCTACATTTTGTAAACGATGGTGAAATTTTCATCGTACTCTAATCACACACTATGTGTAGAACTGCGAACCACTTTTAACAACGGATGCACTGCATAGCTTTTTGTCGGATAAATGAAATCCGATGGCAGCTTCCAACTTCACACCGTTGAGTTGGCTAGAACCCAGTGACCCGTATAGTTTGGTCAGTGCACCAAACTACACCTCCGTGTGAATATGAACTAATTAAGTCTCAAAAGATATGTGCCCTTCAGGGCCCGCAGGATCAGCAAAAACAGCGAAACAGCTGCCAAACTGTAGTTCATTCAGAAGACTTGAATGGGGGATGATTACCCGGACCATTTCTTATGTGTGTATTTCAGCCAAAACCTAGTGAAAGAAGGAAACCCAACAGTCGCCTACATCTATCTGTAGTCTAATGGGGGCACACACTGTTCCTCCTGTCTGCCTAAAACGACAGTTTAATGCATCAAAATTGACCATACACTTCAACACTTGGTGGTTACTTAGTACGAACAGCAAGAATAATGCTAGATGATAATCCCATTGTGGCTCTATGTTCACTGGTTTTCGAATGTTCTGCAGACTCTGGAAACTCGGTTTTTCTCTGAAACAACTAGGCAGTATTTGTCGATTCACCGTTGAACTGACGCGGTCAAACACGTGACATGAGTCGTCACTAACCAGCTGATCAATACAAAACATCAGAGTCAATCAGCGTAATCTATGAAGTACCACGAAATCCGTCAAAAGCCATTCCCTAACGAATGATGATGCAGCTAAAGCGATCGTCATTCGAAAGGGTCGCTCCTCTTTTTCCCCACAAAAGAATGTTTTGAAATCGTCTCGTCTCACCAGTCACATTTTTCCAGCCCAGAGTATATAATGCACTCGTTTTCACACCAGCAGTTGGTAAGTGTAATAAGTAGTTAAACCTAATTTTCTATTGTCACTATAGCTGCCAATTAGACGCGAGCGGAGACGATTGATCGAAAACTTGCCTCTTGTAGTTGTTTTTATACACTGGGATTACACGAGGATGAAGTAAAACAGCAAACAAAAGAATCACTAATAAACTGCTACCAACATAGTGGTTTTGGAAGTAGGCGTATTTCAATATATGGAACAAAGTACATATGACTGTGAGGAGAGTGTTTTATAGAAAAACCTAACCTGAACAGCCAGCTCGCTGCCGAATAACTACAAAGTATGCGTCATTGGTGAACTCCGATCGGTTGTGTTCCTAATCTGAAACTCCGGATCGATGCATCTCGCAAAAATTGGTGACCTGAACGTATGCACTGCATCGGCAAACTAATCGCGTCACTCAAGCATGAACATTTTTGCCTGCTCAAGCATGAAAACTCAGCGTGCGCTGGTGGAGATGTGTGAACTTCAAACGCCGGCACGGCCAAGGATGTGCACTGCTGATG